ACGTAGTTCGACACAAGTAAGTTCTGCAAATGAAATTTAATAATGCACTATGCATAATATACGCGTGCCTATTGCGGTCATAATTCGAATTGATATTAATATAATCGATTTCAAATTTAATACTTCATAAAATGCACGGGGTAAATAGGCTGCATCCTCTTCCTACCCCCCCCCCCCTCCGCCTCTCTCTTCCTGCGTGATCGTATTTCGAAAATAAAATTTAATTACGAACGAGTCAGAGGGGTACGAAATGCCAGAACGTCTGTCCCATGAAACTCGCGCATTTTTTTTTAGAATAATACAAGGACGGGGCGCGGCTCTCCCTTTGTCGCCAAAGTAAACGTCGACTACCGCTAATTGCGGGATCACGTGCCCCGAGGTCGGGCGGAGTGTATTCACGATAAGGTCCCACTAGTACGGCCTTAACGAGACCTCCGGACGAGCCAACCCGACGGTCACGTGTGCTGTACTCGAAATGAAAAAGAATGCACTCGCCCCCGCCCGCGTAATCGATATCGCTGCTTGCGGAAGCACACAATTTCGCCGGGCCCGAAATTGCCTGTTTCACACGGAGAATTAACACGGAGACTGTAAGCTAAGAACGCATCGAAAAATTAAGCGCCTTCGCTCGGCGCGATACCGGCGGCAAAAGAGGCGCGACGAAAGAGAGCGCAGGATCGACCGGGATAAATTCCTGATATCATCGCGACTATACCGGCGATTAGCCCGCCGACGGCTCATTACGACGGCGTTTAATCAGGCGGGACACGGGACGATTATTTTTACAAGAGTCCCGCGGTATATCCCCTACACGTTCTACAGTCCGGGGCCGGTCCTGCAAACGAGACCGAAATAACCCCTCGCTAAAAAGATCGCGGAGGAAGCACCCTTTTTCTCCAGGCTCTTTCTTCTCCGCCGCTTGATAGCCCGGTTTTAATTCCCCCCGTCTCCTCTTTCCCCTCCCCTCTGTCCCTCTCGCACAGGCGAGTATAGTAATGACAGGCATTAACCAATTAGCGCCAACTACCCAACTCATCTTTCTCCGTCGTCATACGGAGCTCCTCTACTTTTCTCTCTCGTAGAGAGGCATAGAGATTGAGAGAAATGGGTAGAAATTTAGTTGAATATATTTGGACAGGTATATATCGATAATCGATATTCAGTTTTAGTTTACTGTGCGACATTATGAATATTGTAGAACTTACAAATAGAATATTTATCTTCAGTACATTCTGGTGAGAGAGCGAGATATGCGAACACTGTGTATAATAGCGGATACAAAATTGCGAAATGAACTTCTCAGAACATAAATATTTTTCCCCGAGTTTCATTAAAATCAAAATAATATTACAATTAAGAAATAGAAAAAAATTGGTAATAGCGAAGTATTTTAAATAAATTTTCGAGCCTCTTAAAAATTTGTATTAAGCCCGATAGGAGGGCTGTGAAGATTTCTCGCGACATACCGGAATTACACACACACACACACACACTAACCAGGCTATATATTTTATATGGTCTTTTACCCTGCGCTACCGAAAAATTGAACCCTGTCATGTCGTATTTTAGTTATTACAAAATATATTGTAAACGAAGTAATGGCGGGCATTAAGAAAAGAATATGGTCTTTATACAGTCAGTCACAACAATTAGTTGCCTGAGAAGTTGTAACCTCGAAATTCTAAAATACAAGACATCTTGCCCCGGTCTCCCCTACTTCTCAGCACTTGAGGGGAAATGTCCCAATAAATAAATCTTTCTCTTTTTCTCTCTTCCCTCCTCCTCTCTCTTCTCTTCTCTTTCTCTCTCTCTCTAGCCTAAACGACTGGCTATTTTCGGACGCCGACGAAATATACGCCAGAGGCCCGCCGCGGTTCCGGCGGAGACTTTAAAAGCACGCTACGGCCGGATATTATTTCTCCGCGCGCGGCGACCACGTCTTTTTGCCAGTGCAGACTGAGAGCGGCGGTGTCCTTTGCGGACGCAATTAATCCTTAGGCAATTTAAACTAACCTGACCTAACCCGAGCGAGCTAACCCTTCGCCTTTGTCCGTTTCAAATATCGCAATGTCACGCCGCCTGTTCCTTCCTCTCGCGAATTTTTGTTTGCACGTGCGAATGACTAAATTTTATATTTCGCGAACTGCCGTCGCTGTGCCACGCCTGCCGTATTCACGGGTACAAATATCGCACGACAATCGGAGGAAGATCCTTTAACATTTAGTGCGCCACATCAATAAGGATACCGCGGAATATACCAGTCTCTATCGCGTTAATTTTCCGCGAAACTTCGGATTCACCTCGGACGAGCAAAAGAAAGTGCAGACTTCCGACTAACGCGTCTTGGGTCTCGGTAATTTCGGCCGAGATACATCAGGGAAAATCATGGGATGTGGAAATAGCGCCACTATTAATATCGCAACAACAATAGCGATACACACGTCGTACCGCTGGACGGTAGCAATTATTCAGCGAGATATCGCCGCGCGATCCAACATTTATGCACCTCCGCGTATTCTGGAAAAGTCGGACCCTCCCTTTCCTCATCTCCAAGACGCGGCATTATCGATTGGAAACGCGACTTTAGCGCAGCTGAGAGCCTGAGAGGCGAATATACTCATATACTCGAGATGCAGCGCAGCGCGCCGAAAATATGCGCGGGATCGCCGGCGAAATTGCATGTTGATCGAGCCGAAGGAGGATCCGCCGCGTGATTAAAGGCAACAGCCGAAGTAACGCCGGCTAAAAATGTCCTTATACACTCCGCGGCTCTCAAAGCGCGCCGTGCGACTTTGAGACGCTTCTGTCTTGCTTCATAACCGGATAGTTAAATATTCATGTACACCCATACACAGTAACGCGCATAAATTGAATATTTATAGACAGCACGCGCGGTGAAAGGGCTCGAAAAAAAAGAAAATAAAACTGCATCAGAGTATATTCCGCAATCCGCTCTATGCCCTTTACATCTGCCGAAAAGTTATATCTCTGCGTCCTCTCCATCTCCCCTTCTATCCCTGCCTCTCTGCCTGGGCAAATAACGAATCCTGACTCCTCTGGAAACGTGTATTTTATAATTTGACGCGAGTTATTATGCGATACGCGACGAACGGATTGACCTCGCCAAGTGTCGCATTTTTCAGCGTACAGTGCTCGGCATATCGGGAAAAAAAGAGAAAGAGAGAGAGAGAGAGAGAGAGAGAGAGAGAGAGCGAGAGAGAGAGAGCTCCGGGGAAAAATGATACTAGAAAGAATAGAATTTTATATAGCAAACATACGTGCACACGCACACGGTGTTGCATGACGATTACGAGGCGGGATGGAGGGGCGACAGTCACGTTTGTCTCGTATGACGAATGCACAGCGCTTTTCTGGCTTACATTAACCTAATTCCCACTGCGTTTCCCTTTATCCCGAATTAAAAAAATACGTTTCCACGCCCCCACAATGCGTTACGCGCGGTTGTTCCCAGCCTGTGGGTCATTTGTTTCCGCGCACGCAGCAAAAATTCAATTTGCAACGGAGTAGAATGAATTTAAAGTAACGGATAACGGCGTTAATCAAAATTTGAGGGCACATTTGGAAAAAAGAAAAAATATTCCCGGCCAAGAGCTCGACTCGCCACACGAACTAAACGACCGCGAATGTATGTGTGTGTGTGAGTCGACATTTAAATAAAATAGCTTCATAAATCGCTAATTCGTCGATGTGAACTCGGCAATCTCGCGTTTCGCATATCTCATTCTGTTTACGAGAGAATGGGGCCCCGATAATTTTTCAAACTCTCTATCACGGGAAAAAAGATTTCACTGCCGCAGCCAATCATGGTTGGCTGAAAATTATTTGTTGATGCAACAAAAAATTTGCTGCTGCAGCTCAAGCTTTCGCTACTGTTGCTACCGTGTCGATTTCATAACTAAATATTATATGGCTATATTGGCAGCTATACTTTTTTTTTAACTATCCATATATACCACAATATGATTTAGCTACACTCAAAAAAATGGTCTTGCTGTTACACACAGCGAAAATTATCTAGATGCGAGGAACTAAGATAGATAAATGAACGCGATATAGCACGTATTTCGTATTTAATTGATATAAATGATAGAGACATAATTCCTATCTGAACTGTTTGTGAAATTTAGCGAGAAAATCTCTATGTCGCACCTATTCAGATTAAGGCCAGTCACATTTCTTATAAAAATGAATGAAGTAGATGAAAAAGAAATAACTAGTAATTAGAGACAAACGAATGTATATAATCCTCCCTATACCTGCCTAGATTTACTGGCAGATATCGTTAGAATGCTGCAAATTCTCTCTCTCTTTCTCTCTGCCTGCTACGAGTAATTTTCTAGAAGATACCAAAACAGCAGTGAATCTTAACTACGATATTTTTAGAATTCTATCTGAATCTGCGATACATTTTCCTAAATGTACCATACACAGATATTCTTATCGCGGCAGATTACTTTCTTTCTCGTATCGAGAATGTCGTACACCGAGGGAAAAAAGTAGTTGGATCGATACAAAATCGGCGGCCACCCGCCTTCAAAGAAATGTTGCATATATCGAACAATTTATACGTTTGTGCAACGATAAGTTATGTTGATATAGTTATCGAATAATAAAAAATAAAAAATAAATTAATGTAACTTATCACAGTAACTATATAATTTATTCAATCGACTACAGTAATTGTTTATATTATTGTGTCTGTTTCCATTATAGTGTGTCTTTCTATTCAAATAAAAAGAAAACTAGCACAAATAAATAGGAAGATATTTTTTTAAATTAACTTAAAGCATTAAACTTGATAAAAAATATTTTTTCTATTTAAATAAGACATAAAAATACTTTTTATAAAGGCACACTAACAGGTAACATGGACAGTTACCTTAAATATTTGTTTCAACGAAATTCGTTCACTCAAGCAAAGTCTCATTAATCCAACATTTTTTTTTCTCAGTATGCAAGTATTGTGCTTTATCACTCACCGCCACAGCAACAGCAGCCGATGCGTGAAGTCCACAGGCCCATCCGATAGTCGCAGGTGAGGTCCGGAAGGTACACAGGGCGGCAGTAGAGGGCTTGCTCGTACACACACACACTAACACACGCGACAAGCTCGTCGGAGGAGCACCGACCGGTGTGGCGACGAAAGTTACGTTAGGCTAGGTCACGTCAACGGCAGATCACGTCGAAGACGATCTATCTCTGTATCTGTCCCTCTCTCTCGCACAGCTCGAGATCGTCTTGGTGCGCGCGCGAATTACGGACGTCCCGACGACGACGTGAGAGGGAGAGAGAACGTCCTCAGCTGCCAAGAGCATCCAGCTACGCCCGACGGTATGTCCGTGTGCCCTTTTGCACGTATGCAGGTCGACGAGCACTCTGGCCGCGGCTGATCACCGGCGCGCAAAATGGCGTATTCGAATTGCGCGATCGTCTTTGAAAGAGTACGCGCGCGCCCGCCTCGTGTTCGACTCGGGTGACCCTTTCCCTGCGTCGCCGCTCACGGACGGGTACGAGGAGGACGACACTGACGCGTGATGTTACCTGCCAGGCGGAAAACGATCCGTCGTTATCGGATTTTTCATTCGCTCTATGCTTCCTCTCTCTTTCTCTCACTCACTCAATCACTCACTCTTTCTTCCTCTCTAGAGCGCGTCCGATACGCGTTTAGCGCGGAGAATATCGAGCGATAAGAACGACGATTGCGAGAAGGAACTACGTTGCCGGCAACTTTGTTCCTCCATTTAAAACGACAAGTGACACAAGTGTCGTCGCGACGAACGCGCGCGATTACCTTAACCTCGCTGACGTCGTGTTGTCGTCGTTGACGTCGTCGCGCGTCGATCGCTCTGTGCGCCGGCGAGCAATTGGCAGTGATCGAGCTGCAGCTTGCTGTCCGTCCTCATGCTCTGGTCCCGTTCGCTGTGTCGCGTTTTCCTCCCCGAGAACGAACCGACGTGGCTCACAAGTAGAGACGAACTCAACGATCTCTTCCACCCGTTAGTTCGGACGCGCGGCCAACGTCACGCTGATTGCCGCGAACGACGCTGTTATGGCGACAACGCGAGCGAATTTACCGACGCACTTCCGCGGAGTTCGTCGTCTGTGCGTGTGCTTGTCAAGTGCTGCGGAAAATCGCCGCCACACGCACCCTCGCGGAGCTCGTTCACGAGAAGAGATGTCCCGTGTGTATTGTTGATCGAAACACCGGCGTACGCGAGGAACACACGCGCGAACGACGAGAGCGCGACAACGTGGGGCACGTTTTCGCGTGGCGGCTGCCTGACGTATGCGCGCGCTCTATCCCTTTCTCACACACACACACACACATACACACAGCGGCGCGCGGCGGACTCGCGAAGGAGAGCGGGCGGCGCACGACCCTGGCCGGTGCGCGGTTCGAGTACGACTGAGCGAGCGAGCCGACTCGAGCGCGCCGAGGCGAAAGCCACGAGCCGCGGCCGGCGACGACGGACCAATCAGCGCCATCCTGGCCGCGAGAAGCGACGGATACTCTATGATTGACCATATGCTCGCGACTTGCTGCATATCCTGGTATGCACGGAAGGTTAGAAGAGAGAGGGAGAAAAGCTTGCGTAAAAATGAATGAATCGGCCGCGTCATGCTCTAAGAATGAGATAACGTCTCCTGTGTATGTGTGTGTGTGTGTGTGTGTGTACTCACAGGGTGCCCACGTTAAGGCACCCGCGTCATTTTTCTCTCACTCGAAGCGAAGGGTGATTTATATCAGGGTGTAGTATGATCGATTTAAGCTTTCGATTGCCATCGCGTTCGCAATTCCCGATTGATAGCCCGACAAGAAGTTAATTCTTTCGCTACTTGAGCGAGTCGATGTTTTTGGCAAAAGTGTAATGGATGCCGACTCGACGCGTCGCGACAGGCACCGGTTGTAGCCGAGAAATTAGAAGTTAGTGTTCACTTGCATACTCACGATACGTCCCAATGATCGCACATCGTTATTTTCGACATTTTCGCTATTTATTTCCACACGAGACTCACTTTCGACAGGCAAAAGACACGCAAGATGTGAAGAGCGATGTGGATCGATGTATCCATGGTGGCTATAGGGCGCAGAAAGATCGAAAAATTTTCGCGATTAATAACGTACGTTTGGAAGTAGAGTCCACTTAGCGCACTTAGTGCTTCCGAACGATCGACCAATCATATCGCTTCAAATTGCTGCGAACCACTTGCAGTGTGAAGCGGACTCTGCCCTGGTTTCATTAACAATGATGACAACCTCGCGTGGTCAAAAACGAGTGTGCCTAGTACATATGTAAGATTGTGCCGTAGATTTCAAAATTGCATCGATATATGAATTGTTTACGAATAATTTACTTAATGTTTATATCTTTTTCCCATATAGACAATGTAGACAATATAAATTACGTAGATTATTGTAAAAATTATTGTCTACAATACAAATGAATTCTTAAGAAAGGAACCAATTATAATGGAATATGTAGAGAATAACTGACCGTGATTGGCCAATTTCTTAAGACTTAAATTTGCATTATAAATCTCCTTTAAATCATGTAGACTCTATCTTCTTTAGAGAAAACGTTTATAAATTCATTGAGCAACTGAATTTACACTATATAATCTACTTTAATTATATAGGATTATATAAATAATGCAAAAATACGGCTGTAGTTCCGAAAAGATCTATTTTCCGATTTCCATGAAATTCGGTGAAATAGTTCCAAATCTTCCCAAATGAACACACTTAAAAGATTTTTTGATGCAACTAAAAAATAATTGAGATAATGCAAAAATAATGAATAAATTTATTTTTAACAATTTACGGATGAGAAATGATCTTATTTTTATGTTACAAAGGAAATAATATTATAAATAGCATAATGAGCAAAATGAAAAAAATATTAATTCGGTCTAAATTAAATATTAAATAAAAAGAAACAATTTCTGTCATTATCAAGTGAACACAACATTCGTGTTTTATAACAGTTACATTGTTGAGTAGGAGTTACAATTAACATGTATGTTATATGTAACGTTGTGTTCACTGGGTTGCTTAAGTACAAACCTTGTGTAAGGGTGTTTACTAATTTTTTCAGAATCTATTGTTTTAGTATATGATGAACTCATTATTTTTTAGTAAAGCAAAAAATTTCAGCTGAATATATTTTTATATTATATAGTTAACTTCTCAATTTTGAAAGAAAAAGGAAAGAAAGAAAGAGAGCTTTGAGTAATAACTTCAATTCTTTTAGTCAAGTCAGTGTTGTTTGCCTGTTTTGTAATTTGGCACTCATCAAATATAAATTTACCGAATCATTTATTTTGTTACCACACTTTATCACTTATTATATTTACGTCAATAAATATATCTTCAATTGATGTCAAGAACAGACTAACTATACCAAAACTAACTATACCAAGGCGTATTTAAACTTTAAAGTGCTTATATATACTACTTTATAATAAAAACAAATTAATGTCTAGATATAGCTTCCGGAAATCTAGTAAAAACAAATTACCTTGACTTGTATAAATAAACATCAATCTATCGGTTATTACTCAAATCTCTCTTTCTTTCTCTCTTTCTCCTTCCAAAATTGATAAGTCAACTATATAATATAAAAATATATTTAGCTTAAATCTTTCGCCTTATTAAAATAATGAGTCTAACACATATTAAAACAATAAATTCTAAAAAGATTAGCAAAAGTCACTACGCAAGAATTGTACTTAAACAATTAATGATTGAAATTATTCTTTTTATTTAATTTAGATCGGATTAATATTTTTTATTTTGCTCATATGTTATTCATAACATTATTTCCTCTAACATAAAAATGAGATAATTTCCCATCCGTAATTTGTTGAAAATAAATGTATTCATTGTTTTTGCATTATCTCAATTATTTTTCGATTGTGCCAAAAAATCTTTTAAGTATGTTTATTTGGGAGGATTTGGGACTATTTCACCGAATTTCATTAGAGGGTGGACCTTTTCGGAATTGCACACACATACATACAAAAAACTAATAATTAAAATATTAATTAATCTCTGTGTGCTTTTAATTTTAATTTATATTTAATGCAAATTTCACATATCTGAAAATATTAGAAATATTACGATCAAACATAGTGTCTAACTGCAATTTCACACGTCAGTCATAGACTATCATTGTCTACACAAATTACATTCATATCACTCATATAATCATTGTCCACACAATTACATTTATAGTTACGTAATAATACATATGTTACGTTTATATACATACTATTGTCTATATATAAACGTATAATATTATAATTTACGTGTAAATGCACAACTTTGCTAAAATGTTTAGTGGCTATCGATCTATTGGTGAGTGAGTCCGGCTATCTGCCGCGCAGGGGGTGGCGTTGCAGTAGCGCGACGCCGTTCACATGTCGCGATGCGTCACGCATTTTCGGTATACGTGATTAATCGCGCGAGAGCATCTTGGGTCTTTTTGCATGATGTAAGCGCTACTGATCCATCGATCGACGTTTCACGGGTCTCTTGTCCGACGAAAGTGAGTTCCCTGCGGAAATAATCGTCGGAAATGTCGAAATAACGGCGTGCAATCATTGGGAGGTAACATAAGTATCTTATTAGAGAGTAATCTCCTCGTTCTTTCGTACATTCAGCCGGCGTCGCGTCGTAACACGTCGTGTTGACGTCTGGTACACTTACTCTATTAATCTCGACTCACTCCTCGCGATCGTCGAGTTTGTTGAACGCGAGTGAGAAATGCGACAACAATCAGTGCTGAAGAGAAAGATAATATGACGCGGGAGACATACGTGACGTAGGATCGCGGGAGGTAATGTCAGTCTGTAGTGAGAAAGACAGAGTGAGAGACTGTACCGCGTAGAGTGCGTCCTTGTCAGACCGCGACATTATTTACGTATTGGCGCTTATTATCGATGTATTTCAGTTGCACGATCATCTGGGATTTCGATCTAATCGCACCGTCCAATCGTCGTAGACACATCGATCAACATCGCTCTGCATCTTCTGTCTCTCGTAAGGGAGTCTCGTGTGGAAAAAGGCATCGGGAGTGTCGAAATAATAGCAATCATCGAGAGATATCGTAAGTACTTTACTACAGAGTAATCTTTTCATTCTTTCGTACATTTATTCCGCGTTGCGTCGTGACACATTGAGTCAACATTTCCTATACTTGCTCTGTTAATCTTAATTCACCCACCGCGATTGTCGAATTTGTTCAACGGGAGTAAGAAATGCGACGACAATCACAAAATACGAGAATGATAACATGACGCGGAGCATACGCAACGTAAAATTGCGGGAGGTAACGTCGGTTTGTTAGTGACAGACAGAGAGCGAAAATATATCTTACAGAGCGCGCCTTGTCAAACTGCGCCACTATTCACGTATTGGCGCTTATTATCGACGTATTTCAATTTCGTAACCATCTTGGATTTCGATCTTTCCGCATCGTGCAACCGCCGTGAACGCATCGATCGACATCGCTCTGCATCGTCTGTCTTTCGGAGGTGGATCTCATGTGGAAAAAATGTCGGGAAAGTCGAAATAGCAGCGTGCGATCATCGAGAAATATCGTAAGTACTTAATCTCCTCATTCTTTCGTACATTCATCCCGCGTTGCGTCGCGACACATCGAGTCGACGTTTCTTACACTTGCTCTGTTAATCTCGATTCATTCGCCGCGATCGTCGAATTTGTTGAACGGGAATACGAAATGCGACGATAATCATAGGGAAAAAGAAAAAGATAACATGACGCGGGAGCATACGCAACGTAAAATCGTGCGAAATAACGTCGGTTTGTTAGTGAGAGAGAGAGAGAGAGAGGGAGAATGTATGTACTTCACAGAGCGTCCTTGTCGAACCGCGCCATGTTCACTTATTATCGAGACATTTGAATTGCGCGACCATCTTGGATTTCGATCTTTCCGCATCGTACAACTGTCGTGGACGCATCGATCGACATCGCTCCGCGTTTTACGCATTGTATGTCTCTCGGAAGTGGATCTGGCGTGGAAAAAAGCATCGGCAGTGTCGAAAGTAGCGGTGTGCGAACGTCAGGGAGTCTCGTAAGTATCTTATTAGCGAGCAATCTCCTCTGTCGATACGTACAGTCTTGTGCTTGTCGCAACGCGTCAAACCGACGTTTCCTATACTTGCTGATAACATCGACCCGCGCAAATAACGATAGAATCGAGCGATTGTCGGGTTTATTAATCAGGAATTAGAAGCGCCATAGTAATCAGGTAGACAGGTGGATAATATGACGCCGTAATACGAATTACCGTTCAACTCGCAAGTCAATATCGAGAGTGCCGTGCACTCCTTTAGCGGTATCGTATATCATGGCGTCGGAGACGGC